TAATGCTCATTGCCCTGTGGGCCTTAGCGGACATAGTCTATGGGTGTGGCTATCTGGTGTAAGATCATCTCTTTTTATTTTCTTTCTTTCTATTCTTTTGGTGTCTGTAGAAAGGTTTATTGAAGATACTACAAGAGGCAGTAGGCTGGGATACAGCGAGAGCACTAACCAGCTGTCATCTCTGACTAGGGATGCATTCATCTCTAATTCAGGAATGAAGTTACACCCAAGGTAAATTCTAGACTAGGATGATGTCATCTGAGGTGATGTCATCTCCAGTAGGGAGCTCCTGCAGCAAGGTGAGATCATCTGGAATATGAACCTAGTGTATACTGAGTGCTTGTTCACTATACTAGATGTGGCTCTTAGCATCTGCCATGTGAGGCTGAAGTACTTCTTTTTAAAAGGCTTGGACTTCACAATTGTAAAGGAGTGAAAGTACTAAGACCAGTGGCAATAAGACCAACAATGGCTATAATGGTGTGTGTAGCTGCCCTTGCAGATTGTGTGTATGTTCGTGTGTGTATACAGTGTGCTAAACAACTTTCCATCACTGGACACAAACAAAAATAAAACCACCTGAGAAAAATCAACTTAAGAGGAAGAAATATGGTTTAGAATGCTTGTGGCTCTTGCAAAGTACCAGAATTCTGCTCCCCAAATTACATCAAATGGCTTAAAACTGCTTATAATTCCAGCTGAAGGGGGTTTGACATACTCTTTAGGCCTCTGAGACCACAAGCGTGCACGTGTGTGTGTGATAAATACATGCAGATACACATAAATATGAGGGAACACGGCCATGAATAAAACTGTGAGATTTCTGAGACCTTATGAGAAAATTTTGAGGAAACATGTCTTGTAATCCCTGTTCCTCCGTAACATGGTTGATCTTGGAATGTGCTTTCATGCCCCTCCCACGTGTAATAATAGGAGTGGGTTTTACTTTAGATTACCCATCATGTTACCCATTATTGCTCATAATGATGTTTCCATGCACAGGTTGTCCTCCTGGTTGTATGCAACTTGAACTAATGTGGGCTTGCAGTTGTTACTGCATTTTGCTCTTATGGCCTCGCTTGGCCGTCAAGAATACCCTCAGAATATAATTGTCTGATGCTCTGAATAAAGATAGCTATTGCAAGAGACTCAAGTTCACTTCATTTCTATGCTCCACCCTCCCAGTTTCATGCCACCAACAAGAACATAAAAACACACACACGCACGCACACAATAAATCTTTTTAAATAAAGAAAATGTGGAGAATTTATTTTTAATTGGTGTAAATTAGGTCAGGCGGTGGTGTCATACACCTTTGACCCCAGCACTTGGGAGGCAGAGGCAGACAGACCTCGGACTTTGAGGCCATCCTGGTCTACTGAGCAAGTTCCAGGACACCCAGGGCTACACAGAGCAACACTGTCTCTGTGGGTGGGGAAGGATTAGTATAAATCAGTCACAAGGCAAGACTTTTTAAGATTATCCGGGGCAAGATAAAGTTGTGGATCTATTGCTGGGCAGAAACTGATATCATTATGTTTTCCAGTTAAACTGGCCATCAGGGATCAGTGTATATATGAAAATTTTATTAAATTCCTTTTTTCCCCAACTGTCCAGTGTTACATATCTTGATTTTGATTAGTAGCGTGTATGTGAGTGTCTTGGCAAGACAGAATACTGTAGAGACAAGTGATTTTTATTTTAGATATCTAGAAGGCAATAGATGCCAGGCATGATGGTGCATGCCTTTAATCCCAGCACTTAGGAGGTAGAGTGAAATGAGATCTCTCAAGACTTCCAGTCAACACAGAGTTCCAGGCCAGTCAGGGCTGCACAGTGAGAACATATCTCAAAAAAGAGTCAGACCCATCTCTCCAGCACCCAAACAGCATAATTCTACAGAAAATTGACTTAATTTAGAACTTTAAAATTTTTTTTAAAGATGTGTTCTTATTTTAAGTGCATTGCTGTTTTGCCTACATGTATTTCTTTGTGAAGGCGCAACTGCAGTTACAGTTGTGAGCTGCCATGTGGGTGCAGAGAATTGAACCTGTGTTCTCTAGAACAGCCAGTGCTCTTAACTGCTCAACTATCTCTCCCACCCATAACTTAAGAAATAAGTTTACAAATTAAGCAAGTATAGATTTATAGATATTTATTAAAGAAAATAATTTGTAAAGCAACAATCAAAAAATGTATACTCCTTCCAAGTATAAATGAAGACATTCACAAACGAATTAATCCCATATTGGGCCACAAAGTATCTTCTAAAAACTTAAGATCATACACATGTGTGATGGTGCAAACTTGCAATGCCTGCACTTGAAGGGTGGAGGCAGAAAGATCAGTAGGTCAAGGTCGTCCTTCGATATAAAATGGATCTGAAGCCAGACCAGGCTACAGGAGACCTGTCTCAGAAAAGCAAAAGAAACAAGCAAGCAAAAAAAAAAAAAAAAAAAAAAAAAAAAAAAAAAAAAAA